GCCATTGGTGCCTTGGCTGATGTTGAAAAAGAACAATCAAAGCGGCACTGACTAATTCCTAGAAAGTATGAGTGATTCAGAGAAAAAAAGCATTAACTGGATGATATTTTAGATATATCCATGTACAGTAGAAAAATCATAATGATATAGATGAGAGCTTTTGCCTCATGGTAAACAATAATTGCTCAGTTGCTGAGCAGACCTGCTGCTACGGCGAGATATAATGAGACCGCTCGCCATTTGGTATGTTGCTTCTTCCCCTTCCACCACCGCACCTTTCATAATCCAGGACATGCTGTTCCAGAGTCAAAGGACAGTCAGAGGACCTGTAGCCAAAGTTAAAATCCCAAAAGCCACTGAATGAAAAAGATGGATTAAGAGAATGATGAGGTGGAGGTTGGTGTATGTTTTCTGTTCTTTTTGCTGGAATATGTGAACGGTAAAGACGTGTCTGCAATCTGCTGTAAATAAGGTGATCCAAGAATTTAGGAACAAATTAAGACAAAGGAGACTGATCGTGCTGTCCTGGAACAATAAAAAATGAATATGCATCTATGCTCTGAAAAAGCTTTTGATTTTAAAATAATTCAGATATGGTCATATTAGGTAAGTATCCATCAAAAAATGCTCTGTCAGATCACTCCATTGCCGTGGTCATTATGCATGTGTGACGCTCTCTTTTGTTTCAGATGGATGATGGAGCAGTATGTGCGACCAACCCTTTGTGTTACCTGTATGTCAGTGTATGTGTTTGTTTAAAAAAAAAATAATGACACAGTGCATCAATGTTGAAGCCCTGAAAGAAACTGGTCTGAACAATTATACAGTTCCTGCACACAAAAACTAAACCAAAAAAAGCTTTAAAAAAGCTGGACTGCTATTACAATCATCCTGGATATCGATCAACTTCTTCTGCAGAGACGATCTTATCCCTCAGGTTCCCTCAGGAATTCCAACTCTACAAAATACTGCGGGTGGTGCCAACAGATCAAATGGTGCCACTCTGCAGGAAATAAAGAACTGATTTACCTGCCCATACTTCATACTTATAGTGGAGACACTCTTAAGTTCACACAGTATTTCAAGGAGGTCTGGAGATCTTGATTGGACCATTGCAGCACCTTGATTGTTTTCTTTTTCAGATATTCTGTTGCAGATTTGTTCCTGTGCTTGGGATCATTGTCCTGTTGCATGAGTCAATTCCAGCCAAGCTTTAGCTGTCAGACCGATGGCCTCACATTTGATTTTAGGAGACTTTGATATACAGAAATCTGAATAGTCAGCTGAGTGACTGCAAGGTGGCCTGTTCCCGTGGGTGCAGAACAAGCCCAAATCATGACCCCTCCACCACCATGCTTAACTCTGGACCTCATACCAACTGTTAAGTACCAATAGGGAATAAGTAGCACAGACACAAAAAAATGTGCTAACATTCAGCCTTGTGACCTACAGCTACCTTTTACCTTTGGGTATACAGCACTGGAGTTATATGACTTTGGTTTAGTACCACGGATGAATGTACTATGAGGGCACATCTTCTTCAGAGACTGGATAATTTGGTATGAGGTATTTGTGCTGATATGCTGTGTTTAGTTTTTGCAACCTTGTCTGCCCAAAGGACATCGCCATATATCTTTTATTTTGTGTATTTCGTCTGTATAGGATAAGAGCATGCTAATCAGATTATGCCAGTGCCTGACTGGTATTGATGTGGCAAGTCTAAAGCATTCAGATCATTGGCTTCAACCTGAGGATTGCACCCTATATATGGAGACAAGATGACCGCCACCTGCTGAGGATAATTTGCCTCCCTTTCACTCAGCCAGCCACAACGGTGGTTATGTAATTGGAAGTTTGATCTGTGTTTAGAAGGAAGTAAGTAGGGGTGAGCTACTATTTTTTTTCTAGGTGTTCCTTATATTTTTGTTAGACTAAGGAGGTAAGCTGTTGAAGTTTGGTTCGCTACATTTGCACAGGTTGGCTGAGCTTGTGTTAAATGGTGCAATTTATATATCATTTTGGCCTTAGCTCACCCTGATGTTATCTTACACTCCTCTGTTTGTGAATTCACTGAACAATAAATAAAGTTGTTCTTTTTTTCAGCTATATCAACATCTATATCGTTGCTCCCATCTAAATTTATATTGGCTCTTACTACGAGCAGTTTTTTGGTACAGGTTCTGGCATGAAGTGCAAACTTTGCAACTGTAAGTACAGACTACGTACAGAGTACGTGCGTATCCAGCAATGGCACTGGACCAGTGTAGTGTGACAAAGAAACATCTTGTGAAACATGACAGTTTGAGTGTTTGACTGATGGGCGTGTCAATATGACACACCCTGCTGAACTAACAGTTAGAAATAAACAGATAGGCATTAGATATATTATGTACCTTATGCAACTATTATATTATACTATTTATGCAACTGAATTAATGCTCCTGATACCTTTCTCAAAAACTGTTTTGGAAGTTAGGGGAACATTGGGTAACATCGCTCTAAACTGTAACCTTCATTTTGCTTTGGACAGTAAAGGCAGACATGCTGGGCAAACCACAGTTACATGTCAAAATAAGGGTTTTTTTCTTCTTCTTCTTTTATAGCTGAATAATATCAGAGTAACCAGTGTACAAAAATCAGAGTTGCTTAACAGAACACCAGATCCTGTGACCATATGAAAGGCCATGTGCTCAAAAAACAAATTGTTCCTTCCACTGTGACAGTCAGTCAACAGAAACCAACGCCTCCAGGCGACCACCAGCTCAATGCTACATCACTGCTGGTGCTGCTACTATTCTCACATCTGTATCTAACATCCGAGAAGCCTGGAGTGGATGTTTAAAAAAGCAAACAAAAGTAAATCATATCTAAAAATGGATCATGCTGAAGAAAAACAGACCAAAATAAAGTTACTGTTCACGGTCAAGACTATAAATAAAAACTACACTAACTTCCCCAGCTGGTTTGAACTCTCGAATTTAGCATTTTATCAGTATTTTGTTTTTTTAAGCTAGAAATGATCAAAGCTGCCAAAACAAAGTTATGCATCCACAGAATGGAAAAGCCCAAAGACCAAAGCTATTTTTGCACCAATACTCACCAATGAAGTGAAAACCTGAGCAGAGAGAGACATTGCATTCCATCTTTAGAGAAATATGATCAATATGGACATCTAGTCTAAATGTAGCATCCCTAATGAATAAAAGTAAGATCATAAACTGTACTTAAAAAGTATTACAGTTAATATTTATTGCAAAAGAGAAAACGGTGACAGTGTGCTTGTTTTATTTCCTGAATTAGCCAGTATATTACTGGTTATTAACATTCCCCTTTAAGTAGAGTGCAGTATGCATTACAATCATGATGTAAAATCAGTAAACTCAAAAATGACATGAACTGCCAATTTATTTTGGATATTTAGAGTGAATTAGACAATCCACATATTCTTTTTCAGTCATTCTGTTGTGCATTTGCTGCTGTGCTTGTGATCATTGTCCTGTTTATGTCCTAATTAGAGTCAACCTTTAGCTGTCAGTCATGTGTCCTCACAAGAATCCTTACAATTGAGTTTATGGTCAAAGCTCATTTCATCACACCTCCACTACCGTGCTTCACAGTTGAAATGAAGTGTTTGCACTGATATGCTGCACTTGATTTTCTCCAAATATGCCGCTTTGCATGTACAAACATCTCCAGTTTCCTCTCATGTTTCCCAAAGAAATTTCTCCAGAAGTCTTGCAGTTTGTTCAGATACAACTTTACAAGCCTTAGGACTTTTGGCAACGTTTCCAAACAAGCCAAAATTGTTCAATCTTTTTCTAACTGTCCTGTCATGAGCTTCGACATTTAAAATGCTAACTGAGGCCTGTAGAGTCTGAGATGTAGCTTTTGGGGTTTTTTACTATTTCTCTGAGCGTTCCACAGTCTGACCTTGTGGTTAATTTGCTGGGATATTCACTTCTGGGAAGATTGTGTTAACAGACAACTGAATGCATTAGACTGGCACACTGTGAAAATTATGCCTTTATAGAGGTGCTCACGCTTGCTGATTATCAGTTAATGATGTGCACTTCATTATCACCAACTGGCTGCTAGTTAATTCTTTATACTGCTTCTTATGGAAGCAGTAAGGTTGTACTGAATGCCACAGAATCCTGTGACTACTTTCTTTTTCTTATACCAGTAAATTTAAATTACAATACTTCAGTGAGGACAAATAAAGTCAAACAGTGTTTATTTACAGTGATTTATATTTTTCATTATTGCTCTGTTCTGAGATCTGTGAAGAAGATAAAAGACCATCAGTACCGAACAAAGCAGCGATCAGGTACAATAGATGTGAATAAGTCAGTCACAATATTAGAAGGACAAAAATGGGTAGCAAAGCAGCTTGCATGTGCACAGCAACTTTTAGCAGGCTAAAACAATTTAAACATTATGCTCCATATGAGACTTGCCTATTAGACATAGAAAGCTGATCTGTCAGAACTGTGGCTGATATCGACTTTGTAGTTGCCTAAATGAACTCTAGAAGGCAGACCAAAAGCCTTAAATATTTTTTCTGATTCTGGTGCTACAACAACTGAGTATTAAGTCTTTTATGTTAGAAGAAAAATTCCACTTGAGTGTGAACAATTTATAGTATAAACTCTTTTACAACAAACTTTTAGCAAAAGATGAAAATGATTAACCTCCTTGCTGCAAAGGGAAGTATTATTTTTCAGATAAACAGATGTGTTGAGATATTTGATGTTGAGCCAGCAGTCAGGAATGCTTTCTGCACTGCACACAAAAACTCTCAGTGAAAGTATCTCAGTATCACCTTTTTTTTCTCTTACTGGACTTGATTTACATGTATCTCTGATTGGCTGGTGCAGGTTCACGATGGAGCCACTGCTCCCTGCTGATTGGCTGGGAGCAGAAGGGGGCAGGCAATGTGTGTAAATAAATGAGCAGTGTAGCCTCACAGGCAGACTCACATGCCAACCACTTCCCTCTTCATCATTGCCATCAAAACACCTTCCAGGCTAAGGATCCACAGCCAAAGAGGAGAAGAATAGAGGGGTGAAAAAAGGCAAATTCTTCCTGTTACACGAAGAAGCACATCAAGATGTCTATTGAAGTGAAAGAGAAGACAGAGGTGCGTCTGGTGTTTTTGGGAGCAGGTGGAGTGGGAAAGACAGCCCTCATCCAACGTTTCCTCAAAGATACCTTTGAGCCAAAGCATCGGCGTACAGTGGAGGAGCTCCACAGGAAAGAATATGAGGTGGGGGGTGTCAAAGTCACTATCAACATCATGGACACCAGTGGCAGCTACTCCTTCCCTGCCATGCGCAGGCTCTCCATCCAGAACAGTGATGCCTTTGCTCTGGTCTACGCTGTGGATGACCCTGACTCTCTGGAGGCAGTCAAGAGTCTGCGGGATGAGATCCTAGATATCAAAGAGGACAAGTACACACCGATTGTGGTGATAGGGAACAAGATTGATCGTAACAATGAGCGACAGGTGTCCAGCGAGGACGTGGAGTCCACTGTGGAGTTGGACTGGAACCACAGCTTCTTGGAGTCTTCAGCCAAAGACAACATCAATGTCCTGGAAGCTTTCAGGGAGCTGCTCCAGCAGGCCAATCTTCCTAGTCGGCTCAGTCCAGCACTGTGCCGGAGGCGGGAAACCTTCCCCAAAGACAGCAACAAACGACCTCCTATGAACAAAACCAACAGCTGCCTCCTCTCATAGCGATATTGAGATGCACAAAGGACAAAGTGAGACTGGGGGGCAGAAAACTGTTGTAAATAGATTTAAAGTTCCTTGTTTGCAAGGGTCAGATTTGGACAGAAGCAAAACAAGAAATGCTGTTATACATCTTAAGCTTCATGTGAGACACTGAGTCAGTAAAATATTTGTCCATCAGTCTTGTAAGCACTGCAGTTAGCCCCACAGAGGCACTGACAGCACAGAGATGCTGCAGCGAGGACCGACATGTGATGATGTAAACAAATACGACCTTAAAGACAGTGTGGAATGTGGCTGAGCTCGAAAATACTTACTGTGAATGTTAAAAATGTAAGATATGGTGACAGTGCAGAGCTCATTTTACATACAAATATATGATAATGTTTGATTTGGGGCCTTTATGTTACTGCTGTTTAAAAAAAAGTGCAATAACTGTGAAACCATATAAATGCAAAAGTGTTTTTGTGTCTGCATATGTCAGTTTTATGAATCAAGTGAACAACTAAGGACAAATTTAAACTTTTTTTCTTGTGAATGCTTGTGCAACCTGTTCTACAGCTCTTAGAAGATTGTTTGCAAAACAGCTAACATTTAAATACACAGAGCACATTCACTGCTGGTTCTCTCTACTTTGATGTTTATTTATGTGAGTTTGTCTTAAAGAATAGCTGACAGAAGTGCATTGCAAATCTGAGCATAAAGGGGTTTTTTTGTTTTTCTTTTCTTATTAATGTGGTATTTTCTATTTATTGTGACACCACAAAGAGCCACAAAGGCATGTTCGATGTATTTATTCAGTGCTTATTTCAAGTTAAATAAAAGATTTGAATTTAATCCTGTCTATCCCGACTATTTTATCTTGTTTACTGCTGTGACTTTGTTATTTGACAGAGCAGCAGAGCAGACAAACAGGAACGGTATGAAAGTTACTGTATAACTAGGGGAAGTTTTCACAGTCATAAGTGAAAAGTTATGAATCTAAAAAAAGCAAAAAATTAAAGTCTAACACGTGAAAACAGGTGACCATTAAATAAATAAAACAACTTTATTTTGTATGTCCTTAAAAAGATTCACACTGCACAGACCTCCTATACTGTTTCTCTTATAATAAGAATTCAAATCAATTCAACATCAATCCATCAATTTTCTTCTGCTGTCCTGATTCAGGGTCTGGGTCTCTTTATTCCAACCAAACTGGTGGGGTGAGACTGTCTAGTCTGTTGGCCCAGTTATCACAGGGCTAATGGTGCAGAGACAGCCACTGCCACTCACATTCACACCTACAGAAACTTTGACCTAACATGCAAATTTTAGTACTGTAGGAGGAAAGCCCAGGCGCCCAGACACTAATTCTTGTTGCACACTTCAATGCATTTGTGGCAAAACTTACAGACAAACTATACCTCCCTTCTAGAGAATGGGGCTGGTCTAACCAGATCTGTAAAGGTTTTTTCATTTGTTTTTTTGTTTTTTATAAGACGGAAATGTAAAAAAAACCTGCTGAATCACCCAACTGACATGTCTTACAGTTTGTTCCTAAGATCCTAGAAAAGTTATGTTGGTACTGAGTGGATTAAATCAACTAATAGGATCGCTTGGTTGGTCTTTAACACAATCTCAACGGCACAAGCTCTGTTTTGTGCTGCATTGCCCTCTGGTGGTGCACTTGGTGATGTGTGCATTGTTTGATGACTTCACTTTATTAGGTACACATTGTGAGAACTGGTTTGTACCCCCTTTCGCCTCGAGAACAGCTTTGTGGCGCAGATTCAACAAGGTGCTGGAAACATTCCTCTGAGACATGACAACATCAGATAGTTTCCCATAGGTGATCTATTGGATTGAGCGCTGGTGACTGTGGAGGTCATTTGAATACAGGGAAGTTGGAAAGAAAAGCGTCTGGACTTCTTTGAGTTACTTGAAGACGTTTCACCTCTCATCCGAGAAGCTTCTTCAGTTCTAAGGGTCAAATGGTGGAGAGTCCCAGATTTAAACCCAGTGGGAGTTTCCTCCCAAAGAGGGACAAAGGACCCCCTGATGATCCTCTACCTAATCACATGAGCCAAGGTGAGAAAGCGGGTGTGGCTCACACCTTGGCTCCTTAGACTACGATGACCTGGATGACTGAGAACCTTCACAGACATGAATACAGGGAACCTATCATCATGTGCAAGAACCAGTTTGAGATCATGATAGTTTTATAACAAGGTCTGTTTTCCTGTTGGAAGCACCTTTACACCTTTACACCACCATGAACTGTGCCAAATCTAGCCTTATTTCATAACTGACAGGATGGCACTAGTATGGTCTTCGGCTCCTGTAGCCCATCTGCTTCAAGGTTTGACATGTTGCACGCTCAGTGATGCCCTTATGCACACCTTGTTACTGTTCCCTTCCTATCAGCTCGAGGCAGCTCGAGGCAGTCTGGCCATTTTCCTCTGACGTGTGGCATTAAGGTATTTTGCACCCAGAGAACTGCCGCTTGCTGGATATTTGATGTTTCTTGGACCATTCTTTGTAAAGTCAAGAGATGCTGCACAGGAAAATCTCAGACCAGCCCGTTGAACATAAAAAAACAATTCTTAACCCTGTTCAAACTTCAGCAGGTCATCTTGAGTTAATGCCACGTCACTGTCTGATTAGATATTTGTGTTGATGAGGAGTTGAACAGAGACACCACTGACTATGTCTCCAAAACCTCCTGAAGTGCAAAATAAAATCTAGTTACTAATTTTATTATCTGAAGTAAAATTAGTTACTGAGATTAAATCTGGATGAGTAATGTCTTACATGTTTTGTTTAGCTGGATTTTGTGTCTACTGTGTATACTGAAACATGCAACAAAAGCTGATAAAGAGGTTTTCATTCCAACCAAACTGGTGGGGTGAGACTAAAATCTAATCCACTGCTTCAAGAAATTCACATGATGACTTGACTAAAGAGCTTACTCCAGATGGTTCTCTAATCCTCCACTCTTAACAATGGCAGCAATGACAGGACAAAGTTGCCTAATAAAGCATGATAAAGTATCATGCTATTTAATGTTCACTTTTCATGTTCTCTAAAAGAACTTCATACACATTGTTAGCATTTCCTGACTGTTAAAAGGCAACACAGGCTTAGAGAAAGAGACAAAAAAGGTGCACTTCCTTTTTCCAAAAATGCTCAGATAAGGTACATTGTTTCCTCAGAATGAGACAAGGAAGTGATCTGTAATTACCAGATCTTTAGTTCCTCTTAGTGCCTTGTTTAAACTCACAGCTGCCTTCAGCTGCTCCACTGAGATTCACAAACCCATCTTTCTCAGCACATGGACGAAGACCCGGGAGGGGGGACCCCTGCCTTTTAAAACTCAGGTGCGATTTAAACCTCTTTACTTAGGTTGCTGGCAGAGCACAAGGCTCAGCTGTAGATAAGGGTAAAGGAAATGCAAACTACTCAGATAGGATTACTGCTACTATAGCAACAAGTAGAAAAGTCTGATTTGTGAGTATGACCTCTGAAATCCCTACACTGGCTGGCAAAGTGTTTGTCTCTGCTCCTAGACTTGGTCCAAGCTCCTCAGTGCTGTTTATATACCTGAGAAGTTTTGAACAAGTATAGGATCTCTGACGTCCACATCAGGTGTTTTTAAGGAAGCGGTAAGACCTAATGGCAACTGCATACTGGATCTTTATGCTAACATTTGAATCACAGTGCATGTTAAAAGTAACTGAAAGCCTTCTCATAAAGCTGTATTCAATTTTATATTTGTCTCTGCAAGATTGTTTTAGCAGGATTCATTAAATATCCAAACCGAATACATATAAAAACCCAGAAAAGCAACGAGAAATCTGGTTCTTTGTAGCCAAAAACTACAAATGGAACAAAATGTTAGCTTTTCCTTGCTGAAATAGAACATTTGGACTTCAAATGTATCTGTAATCTTTAAATCTTTCTGATTCTGACAGATCGGTTTCTTTTATTACATATTAGTTGAATTCAAAACTAAGGCCCACAAACCAAACCTGGTACTTCTTAAACTTTAATCCAGTCCCCATATCCTGTTTTTCCAATAAATTTTGTTAAGCACCACAACCTATAAAACTAAACAGACATTTGCACCTCTACAGCATCAGTAAACTAGCTGCTATGGAACAAAAAGGAAATTCTGTGACTATTTTGGTTTTCAGAGAATCCAGTTTGATTTCTGAATCCACGTCCTTCTTTGGAAACAGTCCTGGACCACAAAGGCTTCAGAGAGGTTCTGAAGTGAAAGTGATGGAGCTGTAAAGGGTAATGGCTATGCCATATAGTACAAACAGTCTACATAAGGTTCATAGTCAGGCAGTATGTCAAGAACACAGCTAAAGATTGATTTTCTTTTTTTTTTTTAGAACTTGTTTAATGGATGTTTAATGTTTAATGGACGCCCCATTGTGTTAACTGATGTCAAATTCAGGCTTGTGACTTTATAAGCTATGTGGTAGCCTTTAAGCAGAAATGTAATATGGATGCAATTATTTAGCTTGAGTGTTATAACATATGTTATAAAGCTAATAAGCGTTTTTTTGTTTTTGATTGATGCAGCACAAATTAGATATGATTTTCATTACATGGTGCAGCCTTTAGAGAAACAGAACAGACTCAAATAATCTAGAATGTATAGATAGATAGTAGTTTAAGGTGCACATGTTTTGCAAAGTGAGTTATTCAAATAACTTTTTTTTTCTTCACAAAAGTGGCAGATGCTGTGGATTTAATTAATTTAATTAATAATAAAATTCCTTATTTGGTAGAGATGAGGCAGAACCAGAGGCAATGTTTTTTTTAATTTCACAAACAGTGACAAACACAGTACAGTCTGACAGAAAGGTGGGGTTGGGATGGGGAGGGGTTCAGGGAAACAGTAAATACAGAGGATTTCTGAAACACGCTGTGGACAGAAATTTGAGCTGACATGGTAATGGCATTTTTACCCAACTCTGTGCACAAGAGTGCCCAACCTTATCAAATAACATCCAGCATCTATAGCAAACCTAAATGATAAGATAAAACGAGCACAGGTGTACAGTACTGCTGTATGGAAGACATTCTCGAAGTATTAGGGTGTGCGCACACAACAGTAAAACATCTTCATAAGCACAAGAGCAAATAATTGTGCATTGGCTTCTAAAGTATATTTCCCTGAGCAAAAGGCTCAAACAGCATAGAAAATAAAGTCATTTTCACTCAACCTTCACTCTGAAGTTTTCTCAGAGGCCATAATCACTTGGAGACTAACATCAGAACTGTGCTGCTGTGTCGCAAATCATCTTAAAAATTAGAAGGCAAAACAAATGCACAAACAGGGGACACCTTACAAAGATGTCAGTATGTTGCAAAACTGTCTATCCAAGTCAAGGCTTCAATACAAGCCATCTAAAGCACAAATTATCTGTACTTTTAATTACACAGAGAACAATATTCACCTTCATCAAAGGCATTCAACCAAACCATCGCAGCTCCCTGCATCAGTTGGCAATAGTGTGGTGCACACCTCCCTTTAGCTATGTCATATGTAGTGCATTGTCACAATCAGGTAATAGTTAACGGCATTTCAGTCGATTAATAAAGCGAGAATATGATAAAGGCTCATTTCGCCCACAGCAGCTTGCAGCGGTGGTATGAAGCCATTCGCTCTTAACTTCCTGCTGAGAGTGCAATACAACAAAAGTGAGTGACATTTTAACCTGTGGTGACGACATTCAAAAACATTTTCATTTCCCCAAATATTTCCACAGAAGATGCAAAGAAAAGCTGCATAAAAATGATCATTTGAGAACTACAGTTTGTATACTTGTTCTTACTCATTA